CTGACTGGCCTGTAGTTCCTCAGGTCTTCCTCCTTTTTTCATTTCTAAAAATGGGGGTTATGTTTCCCCTTTTCCAGTCAGTGGGAACTTCACTGGACTGACACGACTTCCCAAATATGATGGAGAGTGGCTTAACCACTTCATCCGCCAGTTCCCTTTGGACCTGTGAATGCATCTCATCAGGTGCTATGGACTCATGCACCTTCAGGTTCCTTAGATGGTCTCAAATCTGATCTTCTTGTATAGTGGGCAGTTCTTCATTCTCCCAGTCCCTGCCTTTGCTTTCTGTGACGTGGTTGATGTGGCTTTAGCACTTGGTGGGGGAAGAATGATGCAAAACAGTCACTGAGTACCTCAGCCTTCTCCATATCCTGGGTAACCAGGTCTCCCATTTCCTTCCAGAGGGGGCCCACGGACATACCTACAGAAGCTCTTCTTGTTTCCCTTGATGTTCCTGGCCAGACTAATTTCTATCAGGGCTTTAGCTTTCCTAACCTTGTCCCTGGCTGCTCGGACAATTGTATAGAAAGAAATTATATGTAGAAAGAATTATATCTAGCAAGGATAAAGTTACTGTCAGACTGTTAGAACTATTTCACCATGTAATTATATCCTGTGAAACTTTGCAATTTAATACAATTTTAAGTGTACAATGTCTTTCTAATTTCATTTGCAAGCAAGTAGTACAAAGAGGATTAACCCCTTCTCTCTATCCTCGTCTCCTTGGAAAAACCTGAACTTTAACTAAAACTGTTCCCATAAATTTAATTCTGTAACTTTGCTCTTAAATCTTCCTCAGAATCTTTTCTAATATCTCCCAAAGAAATATTGACATTATAATTGAAAATGCTTTAAATTTGAAAGACAGAACAGGCAGGAAACAAATAGAAAGACAGTATCTTTGAATATTCACCATGCAATGATCCAACTGCGATTGTACTACTTCCTGCTCAACACTCTTCATCTCCAGCTTGGGCACCTGCAACTTCACTTCATCTAAAATTCTTTTACATTCTTGTAGGCGCTGTTCGAAGTTGGCTGGCTTCTGAAACAAGCGAAACTTTGTGGAGACATCCTGCAGCTTTTTCTGAAAAGTAAACATGAGTGAGTAGTAAATGTGAAGTCAAGTCAACTCTGAAGACAAGTCTTAGATCTGTTTCAGAATACACAGAATCCATTATCAATCAGCAGTTTCTTATTGAAAGAATTTCAAACTTTTGGGGAAAATACCAGCAGCAGAGAATCTTGGTCTTCACAGGAGGAAAAAAAATATTGTATTATCCCGGGGACTGGATGCATCAGAGCCCGTGACAAAAGAGTCCATATACTCAAGTGAACAAAGGGAGAGTTTTCATTAAATGGAGGTTTAGTGGCTTGAGAATAACAAATTCACATTCCAGAGTGGACACTCATCAACTCTACCATGTTGCTGCTTCCTGGTATGAGAAGTGAATCTTTTAGTCCCTCAAAGAAACCCTAATAAAGTGGCTGGGAAGTAAGTAGGTCTAGCACAAAGCTGAGATTTAGAGTATAAAATTGATTTCTATTTCAATTTAAAAAAGCATAACCTAGAGTAAAAAGAAAGTAATTTGAAGGCAGAAAAATCTATGACAAGCACAGCTTCTAATTTCATTATTTTCACAATTTGTTATCTTTGTGCATTAATTATACAGCTTGATCACATGATCCCTACCTCAAGGGGAGGGGAAATAATTAAATATAAAGAAAGGGCATTTTAATTATCTACTTGAATAGGAACTGATTTCTTTTTAGAAGTACAGAGCAAAGTACTAGTAGAATAAGTTTTTCTACTGTTTGAAAAAAAATGTCTCTAAGAAACGGATAAGTAATTAAATAGGAACTTAGCATCTGCAAACACACTTTTGATTTTTTTTATCTTCATATCCTGGACACTTTATACCAATGTAGTGCTGTTTGTACGATACAAACTTGAGAAAAACTACAATAAGGAATAAAATTAGCCTATAGATAATCATTAGTAAAAGTGTTTCCCACATCTATCAGATTTCTGTGAAGGAGGCAGGAATCATGAGCAGAAGACAATTCTGGATAATACAGAAAACTGTAGATTTCCAATAGCTCCTTCCAACAACTTCCCTCATTAAATACTCAATGAAATTGAGATCCAACGAGGTAAGAAAGGAAGTATTTCCCTAGATAAATAAGTAAACAATTTAATAAAGATGGGAAACAAAGGGTAGGAATAAGTGGTCTTATTTTTCTTCACTGTGTTTGCATACACTAAATTCATACATAATTAGTTTTTCATCTTGTCATGACACTTCAACTTGATGAAGATCAAGTCCTGTGGGAAGCTTGCAATGCCACATCGGTATCTGTTACAATCTCTGTTGGTCAATAATTAAAAATTATCTAGAAAAGAGAGAGAATGACAGTATTAATGGTAGAGAAAACTAAAGCCATCTGTGAAGGGTCACTGAAGGATTGCACAGTACTGAGGATCTGTAGGAAAAAAACAAGCAAATTATATTTAATTCATCCAAAAATTAAAAGTAATGCACATCACAAAAGAAACAGCAAGTTTGATACACAAGTGGGATCTAAATTATCTATTAGCACTCTCACTTGAGTTATAATAGATAACTGTAACAGTTATATTATGTACTTATATTTATCTCTGACAGTTAAAAAAAAAAAAAAAAATAAAATCAGCTCAATACTTAAAAGCAGCCAAACAAGCAAAATGGATATTTGGAATGGTTTGGAACATAAAGAACAAAACCAAAAATACCTCTCACAGTACAAAAGTCATTGTATAAAGCTATATTATTCCTGGATAATTTATGCAGTTTTCATCACCTCATCATGAAAAGTTATTGTAAAAATAGAAAACATATAAAGAAGAACGACAGGACAATCAAAGCTATGTATCTAAAGGTCTCAGTACGATTTAACATACTAGTCAGTCTGGAAAAGAGACAACTGATGAGGAGTAAAATTAGTGGTATGCAAAAAGTTGACTAGCAAATGATTATTAACTGTTGCTCAAAATTCATGAAGAAAGTGACACCAAGTTAAACTCATATAGGGAAACCAAAATGAACAAAAGGAAGGACAACTTCACATAGCATTCAGTTAAACTGTGTAACTAGCTGTTAAATTGAGGATTCCAGCAATTTACAAGACTTGAGAAAGCATTTAAACATGAGCTTTTAAATATCTCTGTCCCAGAAGTTCCTTAGTTGCAATTCACTGGGAAGCATCACTAAATATTCGCCTTACTGTACCTCGTCACTGTCTTCTGGCTACTATTGGAGATACGGGTTTGGGCTAAATGGATCTGTGGTGAGAAGTAACATGAGACTTCTTAAATACTTAAAATGTGTAGTCCGCTGAATTTACTTCATATCAAAACCTGAATTGATGGCAATATTCAAATGGTCAGTAGGCAAACTTGGCTGGCCTGGATAAAGAGCACAGAAACAACTGATGGGAGAAAAGGAAAGCCCACAACTAACTCAGGATCATTCATTTTTGATTTGATGAAAATGTCTTATTTAGAAGTAAAGGATCAATAGTTATTCAAAAGTAAAACTATAAGTAATTAAATATTTTTAGGGATTTAATGTTTTATATTTTATTACAATAAATAATGTTAAAATATCACTAGGAATTAGTAATGTGGTAAGGGAAGGGAGTCAACTGAGTATCTTTTTACTCTGACAAGTGTGTTTACCTTAAAGGACAGATGAAAGTAATAAAGAAACAAGTATGTCATTCGTCTGCTGTATAATTTTTTCCCGCAAAGAATTTACTATTGAATTTCCAAAAATAGCCCTTCCTCAGACAAGATTTCACTTCCATGTAACAATTGTTAGCCTAGTATGACTAACTAGGTCTTAAATCACTGTGGCAGAAATAGATTTCTATTTTGCTAATCGTCCTTTTTCCCTTAAATTTAAAAATCAGAACTTAACTGTCAACCTACAGTAATCCAAAAAGCCAGGATAAATTTGGTCACTTAACAGTTGTTTCACAATCTCATTGTAATTACTTATTTTCATATTTTTTTACTTTCTGTCTAGGTAATTGAACTAATATTAGAGTAAATATATGTCAAATGAGAAATATTATGTAATGCAAGAAAAGGAAATTCATGAAGTAATTATTTATAAGTGAGAATGCTCTTCAGGAACAAAAATGAAACATGTTTTACCCCTAAAGGTACTGCACAATGATGGAAAAGAATTCAAGAGCGTTCACTGGCCTGAAATCAAATATAGTCTTAAATACTTGGAACACAGGGTTCAGCTTTTACCCTTTTTGGTAGTTTACATTATGCATGTAATGTAATTTGCTATTGTAATTTGCTAAAATGTGCTATTTTTTCATTCATATTTTATCTAATGTAAGCAAAATAGATTCTCAAAGTGACCCCACCAATCTGTCAAAAATCACACTGATGCACATGGTCATCTACAGAAGCCTTTTGAAGAAAAAAATATCTGCACAAAGATTGATTAAGGAAAGAAAAAAAAAAAAAAAAAGACATCTAGAAAGGTTAGTGCTCCCTTGCATGATGTTGAATTTATAAATATTTAGATACAAACTCATCTGATGCCTGCATTTCACAGATGAAATACAGGAAACATCACAGCTGCCATGGTGACCATCAGAAGGTGAATCAGTGTAAAGATAGACAGAAAAATAAGGAAATGTAAATATACTCAGCAAAGAAAAGCTAGTCCTATAGATAAGAGAAAACATTAAAAAAATAAAAATCAACTTTTTAATTTCAAATTAATTCATTGTTTAAAAGCCATTAATTTTATCCATAATAAAATATAAAACTGAAGCTAAGATACCTAGAAATATTTGACAGAGGTGAAAAGATGGCCTTGTTTACTGTTAATACCATAACAAAATTCTTTGTCTTTCTCAATGAATTATGACAATTGGTGTTGCAGCCTGGGGAACTTCGGCACTAATGCCAAAAACAAAAGCAGCAAAACAGCCAAGAACCCATCACACATTAACAGGTAAAAATGTATATTTTTCTAAGTGCTAATTAATTCATCGATTTCAAACAGGTCTCTATGGCTATTAAAGTAGATGAAATAAAGCATAAGCTAACATTTGAAATGGAATGAATTGAATGCAGTTCTCAGCATAAATTTCAAATGCAGTTCTACCAAATATTTCCAAATATTTGAAAATACTTTTAACTGTAAATATTTTCAAGTACCTCAAAAGGTATACCAAAAAGCCTCACTGTAGTTTTATTCCTTGCAACTGCAGCACATTCAAAGCACCCCATATGTACCGTCCCTGTCTGTTGGTTACATCAGCTCTGTGTACCCTAGAACTTTTGCCAACTATATAGGAAGGCTGTAACAGAAAAACGAGCAGTAGGAAGATATGGCTGGTATGCTCTACCTACTCTAATTTCTTAGCTAGAAAGGAGCAGCTAAAACAGAAGAACATTTTATCTATAGTAATAGTACTACTCATGCTGTTTGTTTGCATGAGTGAAGGAAAGATGGAGGAAATTTTGCATACCTGTGCCACATCAATTTGGGAAAGCACTCTTTTGGCAGCATCTTTACCCCTGTTTCGTTTCTTCATTTCTTCCAAACTAATCTCATGGCTTGTTAATTCAGATTGTATTTTCTATTGAAAAAAAAAAAAAGGACAGCAATCAGTAGGGTTTGAAGAAAATATTTCTGTTGTTAATATTATTTGGAACAGTTGATTTTGAAAGATATTAAACAGAAATACTACACTATATACTGGATCATTAGAGGAAATTATTCAAAGAATTACTTGTTCACTGCCCTGTAAAATATGCAGTTTAGTTTCTCTTGATCATAATGCCTTATTCTACTGCTCAAACATATATATAACTGACATTGTGACAATCATGACATAATCTTGCTAAGAAAATTGTGATAAAATTGTAGGCAAAAAAAAGTTAAAGATTTCTTTCTTCTGGAGGAAAACAACTATTTTCATTGGGAAGAAAATTAAAAATTGATTATAGAAAAGAAAAATAGAAAAGTGATTTGCTTCGCAATTCTTTTTTTATTATTATTTTCACAGTATCATCAGTTGAAGTGAAAGAAAACTGATCAAAGTATCCTGTATGTATATCTTCATCTCACAGAGTTGTGTTGTATCTAAACCAGTACACAATTTGTGGCGTATTACTGACCAGAATCTATCTTCACTATCTGTAGATATGGTAAATGCATAATGACATGTAGTTCATTAATACACATACTTAATCCATTTTCTAATACACATTTCTGGTTATCTCTTTCTGTGTACAATCAAATCTTTTCACAAGAAAAATATCAGCCTTTTTGGTTCACCATAAATCAACCTTACACAAAACAATTAGCTTAAGTAGTATTGGCAATGTAATGGAAAAGAATTCCCATAACGTACATTGACAAAACATAATTTAGAGTGATTCACATATTTTTATTTTTAAATTGTTAGAAAATGAGAGACTTATTAGCAAAATTACTAGACAAGTACTACTGAGAACAATCACCCTATGAAATACAGACAAGGTATGTCCCTATCAGGAAAGGTATTTGAGGCCATTACTCCCGCATGACAAAGTGATTTTAGACTTAATCCTTCCCCCCCCTCCCATGGTATACAAGTATTTCTCAGATATACTAAAGACTAGATACACTGACTCAGCATTAGTTATCTCCTGAAGACAAAATGATGTCTTGGAAGTCAGAACTGTATATACAAGGAAGAAGCAAGTCTGAATGTTAGAAAAATATACTATATCACAACCAATATTTCAACTGTTTGCTTCTGCATCTCATCAATCAACTGATATTTGGTTGTATTTTCCAATTTACTTTGTTCAACCTCAGAGTCACTCTGGAAAACACATTATTGAACAGTTCTTATCTGATTAGGTCAGAACAGCACAGTACAGATAAGAGTAGTGTTTAAGCAATTAGGTATTATGGGACATTGCATTGAGATTGTTCTATCTTTTTTAAAAATTGCTCTGCAGGAGAGAGATGAAGCATCATCTACTCTGACATCAAAATACAGAATTAGAGAGAACAAACACATTAGAGGAAAGCTTAAAAGAGAAGTTAGTAAGGATTATAGCAAGAAAAGATATTTTGCATTTGCCACTGCTGCTCAGAGGCAGAAAGAGTAAACCAATTCTGAACAGATGTAAGGTAATTTATAATACCTACCTATGGTGCCCCTTTTCATTCAATTTTGACATGACTGTTTAACTTTTTTGTCCGTTTTCCCTCATGAATTTATTACATGGACTTCTTCTAAATATTCACAAGAAAACACTAATTTTCTTTTTCCATTTCTATTATTCCCACCTCTGCTTTTCTCAGCGATTCCTGTCTATTTTCCCTTTTACTTAAGAGCAAAAGCTTTGCAGCAAAAATTGCCTTCATTTAATTTCTAGTGCATCATAATGTAAGGTAGTGTACGTAATTAATATATACCACTGTGGTTAAATTATTCTGTCCTACAGGCTAAGAATTCTCATTTTTCTATCACTAGCATTTTTTTAGGAAGTTTATTAATTCACTATATATATATATATGTAAACTGAAATATAAGAGAGTGTGTTTGTATCTATGTGTATAAACTAATTGTACATAGATACATAAACCAGGGCACTGGTTATGCCTGTTCTCATGAGGACCACTTCTAGAGCAAAAGGATTTTTGAATGTATGTGAAATGTAGAGTCTTGTTATATTGACAGCAAAAAGTAGAGAATTAGCAGTGTAGCTAGTTCTTGAAAAAAACCTTTCCTATCTGGAATTAGAGAAAGGAAAGTAAAAAGAACCAACATATTTGTCTCATTTGAAAATTGTCACAAACCTGGCTGCAATCTCATGCTTCGAGAACAGCATTTAGAAAAAAAGTAACAGGGCATAGAAACAAACTCTGTAACATTATTTGCAACAGAAATTTGAATTAAAATTGATTACATGTCACTTCCCATTAATACTTGCTAACATAATTAGAACATCAATCATCATATTTACAAAAACTAGAGAAATGCCAGTCAGCAATAATCAGCAAAATCACAACAATGAAAGTAATCTGGAAAAAAACCAACAAACTAAACCCCCAGCCTTCTGTATTTAATTAAAAGGAAGTGATTTATTTATAATCAAAGGATAAAAAATACAAAACTATAATATACATAAAACTAATATTGTGGACTAATGGCTCAAAAGGCAAGATTAGATGCAAACACAGATTTTAGTATGAGCAACATTGAAAAGACGACACTACAGAAACAGGTGATTGAAAAACCAGCAAGTTGAAAAAAGTCTGAAAGACATTCTGGAAGACACACTAGTGAAACTGCTTTTCTCATGGCAGGTCAGGGATATAATTATCCACCCCAGAACTGAAGGAAACCTCTTGTCTCTTTTGTCTGCTCCTTAAGAAGGAAGATGACTGTTGGTTCTGTTACTTCAGGAATGTGGCAAGGTCACAGTAGGTAGGTATTATAGTGCACATTACCCTCCAAGATATCCTAATTTCATGTTGCTTGACCTCATTGCATTGTATTGATATTAGTTGCCAGAAATTTGTAACACAGGGAGGAATTACTTTGCAGTCAATACTGACTACACTGCCAAGATCAACAAATAAATAAGTTGTCAAAAGCTGGATAAATCCGGAAGAAAGATCCAAGTGATTCATATATTAACGTGTTCCAAGACGGAACAAGGAACCTCGATGTCACTTGAACTTAGAATAAGCAATGAACAGAGAAATATTTTCTATGGGCATGTACTGTAATGAGGGTGGCCAATTTACTAGTCTTAATTTGACTTATAAACTTCCACAAAAAAGACACTGAACACAGTGAATTATAGCTGATGAAAAACTGTGACAGCAAAGGGATTAGGTTAACATAAAGTTGCTAGAATTAACCGCACTTCTTCCTTTTCCCCCCCTCATTTCTCTTACTTTGTAAGCCCATTACAGAAAAACAATTCACTAAATTCCTCTTTACTAATTAAACTAATTACTTTTCTGTCTTCTCCACAGGAAGCTTAATGGAAGACACCAAAAGGCTTTCAATTATAAAACCAAAATTTGTTGAAACACAGGTTGATATACTAAAGACAGGTAGTTTCTTAAAGAGAGGACACTTGTCTCTTGTAGGCTATATGTAGTAAACAGAAAGACCTTTTTATACCTCTTTCTGACCTTGCAGAGCTGGTCCTTTCCTCACAAAATTTCTTTACTGCCTAGCAGGTTTCAGCAGCATTCTGGGGTGAACTGAGCTAGCGGCAGAACCTATGGTAGGTAGATGTAGGTAACCAACCTCTGAGGGCTGGCTGTGGCACTGTCCCCTGCTCTCGCAGGTGCTCCTGCAGTGGGAGGCTGCACGCCCCAGCCCAAGGGTAATGTCCTTTTCTGTCCCACTGGGCTCCCAGCTCAACATCTTTCTTTGCTCTCAGAGAGAAGGTTTTCCCCCTAGTTTGGAGGACGCAGAAAATAAATATGCTGCTCCCTTGTCACAGACATTTTAAAGCAGAACATGCTATGCAAAATAAACTAAGCAGTTGCACTATCCTCTACTACACCCACGTTCATCTGTGCACATTTAATATCCTCCAACAAAATACATCAGGCAATACTAATACTGGGCAACTGAAAAGTTGTTAATTCTCAATAACTGAAAATTACATAGCCAGAGTAGTAAATCTTTCAGCACTGAGTGGTGGTCCTGAAGACAAGGGCAAGTGCATTAACTGAAGTTTCTTCCACTGTTTGTTCATGGAAAACAAGGTCTAAATTTAGCCTAGGACATCACTTTTCTACTAAGGATTTCATTAGGATCTACTGCATGACAGGTCTGCACTTGACAGCAACCCTATGAGTTCTGCAGTGGCTCAAGATGATGATGACAAAATGACGTAATACAGGCAAAACGATGAATCTCTACTTGTTCTCTGCTTTTTTGTAAACTAATTCATTATGAACTGAAATTATACTAGATTACTTTTGTAATTAATGAGTCCTTCATATAACTCTTACACCAAAATTACCTGGATATGAATTTGCAGATTTGGCTCTCTTGAATTGCAGAGAACAGCTTGCCAGCTCTTCTTGGTGTATTAGGTTTTCTGATTTGTATTTCTCTAAATACCACTCAGCTAACCTAACAGCTCTGAAGAATGGTGCTCAGTTTAACCTCATTTTTGCTTATTTTCACATTTGCTCACAATGACTAAAGAGTCAGATCTCAGCCTAATGTACGGAGAAAATAAAACACTGAGAGCGCATTCTGGTAAGTTAGTCTTTATAAAGGAAAGATCATGCTTCAAGCAGACATAAAAAACATATCTGAAGCAATTTCAGAACTCTTAGTTGTTACTTTTGAAAACTCTGACAGGATAAACAAAGTACCAGAAGATTATAAAAATGAAGTTGAAGTACCTGTCTTTAAAAGCACAAAAAGAACATGTGCCAATGATGTCACACCTTTGGAAGAAAAAAAAAGAAAAAAAAAAGAAAAGCATGTAATACATACAGAAGATGATGTTATAGCTGGAATGACATACAGGTAAGTCTCAACAAGAACAGCCTACTTAGTTTTGGACACTACTCTTCAAGAAAGATTAACTAAAGAATCCAAATGAGAAGAACAAATCATCAGAGGACAGAAATGTGATTGACAAGGCAAGACCAAATAAGTTGGACATGACAAATGCAGTTTGTGCAGTTAAAACACAGTTAATGCAGTGTTCAGATGCGATGGAGATGTGTAGACTGTGAGAACCTGTATAGTACAGAAATCTGCATAGATACTCAAACTTAATACACAACAAAATGTAAGCTTACACTTCTGAATAATGCTTATCAGCTATTCCCTCTTTGACCACTGATCTACACATGGCTGAACAAAATAATTCTCACAATTTCCAGCAGAGAAAAAGTGTAAATGGCTTTAACATTAGACATTTTGCTAAGTATACAATTGTGAATTCTTTGTCCCAAAATATTAGTCTGAAGGCAATGAAGCATGGCATTATTCTTGACAAGTAACACATTGCACAATTGACAAGCTCTGTTATTATGTCATCACATTAACTTTGGTTTTGAACATAGCACAATGATTAAAAACAGATTAATAACCATCTTCACTTAGAAAATAGTCAAGCATGTAGTGCTTATTACCACAGAAATGAAATTATTCAAGGAGTTTATTGAAAAGGCAAAGTATGTTACTGTTGCTTTTCTCAGAATATTATTCACTTATCTTCCATACTGAATTTTGTTTTGTCTGAATACAGCATCTTTAGTTGTACTCAAAATGAGTCAGTAAGTAGAAACTGTTGGGTGGCAGTGGATCTCTAGCATTAAATGCTCAGTGCCACATGGTGGAGTAAGAAGCACATAGAAGTTCATTCAAAAAATGATCCAAAGGAGAAGTTGAACAGCACACATCTAACTCCCTTTTCTTTCTGTCAACTTTCTGAATAAACTAAACTGATAATTTCATTTAAAAAGAGGAGCTAAATATAGTTTTATTGTCTCAGATTCATTTCCAATCAGCTGAATCAAAGATTTTTCCTCCTATCAAAGCTCTAAACAGATTTGAATTTTTGAAGCAAACACACAGTGCTCCCAAACCCTCAACAGCTTTCTGATTATAAATTCTCCCATATGTTCTTTTAGAAATGCAACACACTTTACTGAACAGTTTGCTAAATCCCTCAGCATGGATAAACTGACCCCTGCCCAGAAACCAACATCATTGACTGAAAGATTCCTATTCCAGCTGTGCAGACACTATTGTAGCGTATCTTATATGAATGAACTGTTTTCAGCTGTACAAAAGAGCTGTGCCAGCAGAAGCTCCACAGGAGATGCAGCCTTTCAGTATATCCCTATTCTGCCACTGGTTGGCATGGCCATTCGCTAAAGGAATGACTCAGTATATTTACCCGCATATGATGGATTGTTTATTCCCTTTCCTCTTAGGATTTTAAAGAACTTCACAATTGAACTTCAGAGAACTTCAATATTTGCATTAAATCTGTTCAGCTGTTAATTAAGTTTTTTTTTTTTTTTCTTCATTAAGTCCCACTGGCATCTTAAAATAAAAACATGAAAGGGAAAAACTCTGCAGCCTCTATGCTGGTTTTCCCACAGTGAATATAGTATAATCAGGTGAACTTGACATCAGACAATGAAATCTGAAGAACAAAAACAAGTTTTGCAAAAGCACTGAGCTGAAATTTTCCCATGAAAGTGTGCTAATTAAGGTTGGTTGAGTTTTACACTGCTTCAGTTTTGAAGGTTTGAATTGCTTCCTTTTACATAGTCTGTGATCATTGCCAATATTGTACCTAAGGACGCACATAGACCAGATGCGTCCATGGGGTATATGACACGCCATTGAAAATTACTACAATGTATAGGGTCCAAATACACTAGAAAAAAAGGACGCTTTCATATTAAATTTTTCTTATGTATTAGAGTTATATAATTACAAGATGAGAAATTAAACTGATACATCTTTAATGCTGATTTGTATCCTATTTCACACACACAAAAAAGCTTATTCAAATTGCAAAGAAGTAGAAAAATGATTCAGGAGAGTCAACTGATAGCTAACATAAGCTTAGGATTCAAACTGGAACAATGATTCATCTGAATCTTATCCTACTCTTATACTGATGTAAATTAAAAGCAAATAAATTAGAATACGTTTAAAATTAAGACTGAATGCAAATATGATCCTGTTTTCTAAATATAAGGTTTTTAATTCTTACGCACAAATATCTGCATGTACCTACAAATACACACATGAAAAGCAACTGAAATGTACACCTATCTACATTTAATTCAAAAGACATGGAAACCTTTATTTTTAAAAGAAGAGATTTTCAAGGCTATATATATTCAGCTTTGAATACACTTAAGGTCATCTAAGCTACTTCATGTAAGACACTAATTTTTTTACAATGATTTAAAACTCTACAGGCATGCCAGAAAAAAACACAATTGAATGCTTCTTCTAAAATCATTATAAAGCATTAATCTTATATTTCTCTGTAGCCTTTATTGTTTGTTTGCTTGTTTGTTTGCTTGTTTGTTTTTGTAATCCGACTTCCTAAATTTAGGTGGCATTTACTGAAATCTTGCTGTAAATAATACTGTAAACTGTTAATAATTTTATACCAGAGATGTTTGGGTTTGTTTAATTCGTATTCTTACCATTTTAATGCTGCAGTAAAGCAGATGTTATAAAAGAAAGTATGAAAGAGTAAAAATGAGAATTAGATGTACAATTTTATTTCAAAGGCTCAATAAACCATTTCTAAGCTGTTTCTGTCAAACTTACATGAGCTGTAAAAACTGAACTATAAATAGATTTATGTGCACATCATGAAATAATTAACAATATTGTCTGTGTTTCAATAATTTAGTAACTATGTGTAGGCCACGTAATCAACATTGTAAAAGAGCCATCTAAGAATAATGAAGATAATGAGTTTCTTCTTTCCAGGATGGGAACTGGATTTTAAAGAGTCACTTGGCTTAGCTTTGTCATTTTAAAGATATTGCATAGTCTTGCATGACATTTATAGTTCTTCACATCTTCTGGACAGGTATATAGTATAAAACAGATGGAAAATATGACTTTACTAGAAAATTAGCTTGAACTTCTCAAAGTAATCCTACCTAAAATTTACTTGTGCTTTCATACTGATCGCATTGCAAATCCCCATTATAAATATCAGGCTAGGGGACAACCAAATACTCTTTGGTTGATTGAGAAAACCAGTAAGCACATCAGTTCAAGCTGTATGTAACTTACCTGCGCTTCCTGAGGGACCTGTGCTGCATCAACTCTGTCTGCAATGTAGGCTGCCAGCTGTTTGTCAATAACACCGAGAGACTCTTGGATTAAGCGGAGGGTTTTGTCAGTCTCCTGGGCAGACTGAATACTCTGTTCAAGACTCTTTTGTCTTCTCACGGCCTAAAAACAATGACAATGTTATCAATATTCGCAGTAAAAATGCATATAATACATTTTTTCCCACAATTTTTTTTTTTTCAGAAGTGCAGGCTAAGAATAAAAAATAGTACTGCTGACTTGTGCTCATCCACCTTTTTGTATGATAAGTTGCGCATCTTTTTGCCACCCATTCAGTTCTTTTTAGTAACAAACAAACAAACAAAACCCCAGAGAGCTTAGACAAGTTCTAAAAAATACAGGACCCTAAAAAACAAATGCATGCAATGAGAATTTCTCTGCAGAGCGGAAGTTGGCAAAGCTGCATAATAAAACCACCCTGACAGTCTTTCACTCTGAGGCATAGCGGTCCTCCTGATCTCATTATATAGTTCAAGAGATTTTGTTTACTGAGAATAGGGTTACTGTCATCACAATCCCATCCGAGACAATCCACTTCAGCAAGCGAGAGGGATACAGACTCTCTTGAGAAGGAGCTCTCTTATACGAAGTATAAATACCTGTCTGGAACAGAGGCAATGCCTACCCTCATAAAAAAGAAGAGATGGATCCATGTCTTGGCTTGTCTGTGGACTTGCCCAATCTATTACCACTCTAACCATAGTCTCTTTTAGTCTAGAAAGTTGTCTCTTGCTTCTACGTCACCATCAGTGCCACAGTGGATAGCCTACCATCACCTTTTAAACAATCCTTTTTTTAAGAAGGACGCTTTCCTTTCAAAGGAGCTCCCTTTATGAGTTACCGAATCAGAACAATAAAATTCTCGTTCCAAGTTGTGCTTTAAAGATTTGACATAAATTGGTTAGCTATAACTATTATTTGTAACAGTTTAATATGATAATTACCAGGTAATAAAGAACATAGTGCTTCCTTCCATCTGTCGTTGTGTTCACCTGCGGTCTCATATTTTACTTAGACTACAGCTTCTGCCTAGCAGAGTCTCTGCTTTATACAAAGACCAACAACTACCAGCGATCTCAAATGCAATACAGTTATTTTTCCTGTACAAGCCCAGCCATACTGCTGACCACAGAATAAAGTGACTTTCTTTGACAAGAATCGAAGGAGGAGGGAGAAAGCAAAGCAATCTTTAAATGACATTGCTAGATGTCCTGCCATTTTTCAAGTCAAATCACACTTTTCTTTTTGGTGAACAAGCTACACTTTAATTTGATTTCATAGCCATTATGAAACTCTTGCCTTGAACAAAATTATCTCTCAGCAATTCAGTGAGAATTCTTGATATATCTGTACCTTCTTCACAGAGCTCAGATTCTCACAGGACTTCACATTTAACAAATGAAAAACATTCTTTTTTGTGGGCATTCTTGCTAGCTGTTTGACTTAGTTAAAGGGTAGGGATCCGACCAGTATTTACTATATTTGTGTTTGCAAGCTGCTTTGTGCTATTTCAAAACAGCTGATCAGATAATCTTGTATCACTGCCAGTTCCAGGAACCTTCTGTGGAACTGAGCAGCTTTACGTAGCGGACCCATGCTGTCGGTGTTAACAGAAGCACCTGAGCCACTGAGGTATTGTTACTCCACCAAATGAACCATTGAAACAGTGTAACTTCCCAGTACGCTACTAAGGCTTGCTACTTAAATGACTTTTACCTTCATCTGGTTTGAGATTTTATATTACAATGTTCTCATCCTGTTCAAAGCAGCGGGCTTAAAACCCGCAGCTTCCATTTACCTTGGCAGTCCTTACTACTAGTTTGTAACCCTGGCTGAGATACAGTCACTCTCTGCCTTTCCATTTGCATCGCTGTACAGTAGACTGAAAGAGACCTCGATCAGAAAACAGGGTAAGTACGTTTCTAAGGCTCACGGGAGAGGGCATCCTCCTGGAAGCATGGAAGGAAACCTCTCTGCCTTTACCAATCTCTCTGGCTAACTGGTAGGACTAACCTGCATGCATAATCCATTCTTACTGAGGGCTGTGGTGTTCTGATGTTCAGGAACGCTCACAATTTAAAGAAAGACGTCGAGAAAGTTCCATTCTTGTTAGTCATTAAAATAAATGCCTGCACTTCTTTGAGATTTCAATATACTGGACACAAATTTGGTCTTAAGTTCTTCTGAAAAACTACTTTTGTAGCAATACTTGAAGCTTTGAACCTTTGTTAAATGCTGATCCATGCTATTATTAGCAGCCAGGCACTTGCTGAAGTATAGATAAAATTGCTGCCAGCCTCAGGAGCAGCCTGCATGCGCGCAATGATGCGGTTATCACTGCACGGAAACTCACAAAAAGTCTTAAAATTGTATGACAAATATGGTGATTGAAAAGTTGTCATCTCTGTGCTGATATAAGCAGAAACTATGTATATAAAAATTCTGTTCTCAAATACAACTGGAAAATGAACATATTCCCAAACTCATTGATCAAATATTAAAGCAGATAAAGTTAAGAAAGAATTACAACAGATCCTTGCGTGAGTTTGACAATTATTATGGGTGGATTTCAAATAAATATGGAGTCAGATAAATACATATGCATGCTTGTGATATCTTCATGTGCACACAAACTATGTACACACACACAAAGACAAAACATTCCCCTTTCATTTTCCTCAGAGAGGAAATGTGTGTGACATTTTGTATCTTCCAAGTGAGGTGAAAGTATATCTTTTCCAAAAACTGTGAATAGTTTAGATGAGTGAATGGATGGATAATATCAGACCAAGATGAGAATGCAGCGGTACAAGAGAGAACCTATTTTGGCAGTGGGAGCAGAACCACACAGCTGAATACTGGGGAACAGCACTTTCACAGCAGTGACAATTTTCTCAGATATAAATGGGTGTTGCTTGAATTATTATTTTTTTTCTATGTTTTATGGTGTGGTAAAATTAAGATGTAATTGGAAAACATATAACTCCATTCAATATGTTGTTAAACAGCCAGAAATAGAGGCCAAAATAGTTAAGGACCTGCCCTTTGGCCTTCCGGGCAAGTAACACCACTCTCAAACCGGCTAAATGCCTTCACCCAAACAGGGTGCGCTGCCCTATTGCCTACTAGGAACAGACCCCATGCTGCACCCTCACCTACAGTCAAGCCTCTGACCCTGTTTAATTGACACAACAAATGCAACAAAAGAATTTTCACAATAACTTTATAAAAGGTACAATACACCTAATGACGCCTATCAAACTGTATTTCTCCAGTACACAGCAGCTGACTCAAAAACTTAATCCTGCTCACTGGCACCATCCCTGGCATTGCAGAATACTTATCAGTTCAGTCCAGGGGAACGCCACAATATGGAGGTGGCTTCTTCCTCTCTTTCTGTAGAAAAGAGAGTTACTGATGGAGGTAAGCATTGGAGTGCTTTACAGAAAGGGGCAGACATACTACGCTCTTGCATCCATGAACCTGAGTTTCAAATTTGTCCTCAAAACTTGCATGTCTGGGCGTGTGCAAATCTGGACATGAGTATTTTCAAAAGACATGTAAAAGCTGAAATTATTTATATATCTATAATATTAAAATATTTTTATTTATGATGTTCTGGGTTTTGGAGGTCTGTTTTGGTTTTCGTTTGTTTGTCTTGGGTTTTTTGTGGTGGTTTGTTTTGTTTTGTTTTGAGGTTTTTTTTCCCCTGCAAAAGATTATGGTTTTTCTATTCCTCTGTGGAAGAAATAGATGCTTTAACATTGCAATACATAAATGGGTCTGAGGACATAACAGGAAGCTCTAGCTCTGCTATCAGATCATAGTTAAAAAAGCTGAAGGCTTTGGTCTCTAAAGGGAAGTGTCTGATGGCTAATTGCTAAATAGGAAATCTCAGGAAAATAACCAACTGTTTAATTATTTCTGAGCCAGTGAAATGTTGACAGCTGTCAAGGAAATGAAAAAGAAACAAAAAAAATCTGCTGTTAGGCACTATCAGAGTGAAGGAGAAAAGAAAAAAATATCTATAGACTGAATTTTTCATAAAAGTCTCTACAGGTTTTTGTAGACTTTTGGTTATTTTTTTATGATTAAGCATAACATTTAATTTTTATGGTATGGGGTATTGCATTGTTTACAATTTAACAAAGATGAATGGTAAATGCAGGAAATGGTAACATTGCATGTTATCCATATAAAATACCATATTAAGAGAAAGGCTGCACTGAGCGGCTATCAAATATAGGGAAAGTTAGAGGTGCTCAAACAGTTGCTTATGATTGTAGGTCATTCTTTGATGTTGAATGTTATAAAGCTGTATTTAGAGATATTGCCACTTTTTTCTTAAATAATACATTTAATTTATTTAATGACATTACTCACATATGCAGTTACTAAGATGCTGGGTAGAGTTTTATGGTTAAAACCAGGCAGAGTTTTGTTGTTGAGGCAGTACTGAGTAGTTGTGCTGAGGGAGAAAAGTAGAACAAAATCTTTCCAAAATTCTAGTACTTTTACTACAGGGTGTATTTATTTATTTATAATGCAGAATTCATTAATTAGCTTCTAAATTACAGCTCATGGAAAGGGGTCTGTTAAGAAAGGAAAATATGTTAGCTCTTTTTTGTGGCTCAGTTATACTCTCTAATTATTGAGAAATGTTACCATGGGGCAAAGTTAAAAAGTTAAAAGTTAGAAAACTTTAAATTTCCTTCTTAGCTTGTTTAAATTACTTTAAAATTTGACCTAAATTCTTGGTGTTATGACAGTTGTGTCTGAGATGATACATTACAACATCTACGTACGTTTTGCATCAAATTGTTAATGTGTTAATTTCCTCTTTTTGTTTGGAATCAGAGTGGATTAGTGTTTAGCCTTAAACTAGAAATACTTTTTCCATTTCCATTTTAGGCCCAGGAATTTTTAATACCCTCCAAGCTAGAACTAATTCTGCAAATTCCAGTAATATTTCCACAGTGCGTTTTTAAAGCAAATGGTTACAAATATTGACCTTTCAACCCCAAAGTGTATTCATCTTTGGTCAGCTGTATTCCAAAACTGGAAACTATACCAAGGTGGACTTCTTTATCTCTTTAGGTTATCACTGCAGACAGATAATGCCTCAGAGCTTGTAAAAGCAGCCCTCTTAGCAGCCTTCAAAGCAGTCACGTGGAGATGGCGCACGCATTCTTTCTCCTCTTGAGAGAAGAGCAAAACAGAAAAATTGTGTCAAATGATGAATGTGTGCTCTTTGAAAGAAATGAAGGGTAATCTTGAGGGGAGCCCTAAAAAAATTAAGAGACCATCCCCAAGAATAAAAATTGAATCTAGTGTAAAGTCCATCTGAACAATAATGATTTATACAGTTTTTTGCAAGCATATTCTCAAGAATATCTAGCTGACATTTTTGAAGTTTGCTGGACAGGATGTAAATAATTTTCAGCATTACAGGGGATGATAGCCACTTGCAATATTACCTTGAACTTCTTCAGGCAACAGTGTTTTTTAGATCCAATATACAGACCTGTAAGTGAATCAGTCCTTGAAAAGTAAAGATAGGGTATATGTCGCTTATCGATCAGCCCCAGATGTTCAAAAGCAAACTAAACACACTCAGTCTTTATTAACTAAAGAAGATAAGGCATACAAACATAAAGCCATTATCTGCCTTTAGAAATGAATTTCTATCTCAGTAGCAATGCTGTATTGTCTTGCACCATCATTAATAGTCAGTGGTTTGGTTTTGCTTGCTCTATTAGCAGTGAATAAATATTTCACATATCAGTTTGTACCCACATGAGCTTATTGTCTTGGTAATTACCTGCACAATTATTCAAATAAAAATAAATAACTTAAACACATTAGGATAGTCTATTAGTATGTCTGAAGTAGAAGTGACCTTGAACACAAGCTGAATTGTTATGCAAGGAGAGTGCATGCTGTTTGGATTTCAACAGGGCTACACAAACAGCACAGAAAATTCAGTGTCAGGAATCTATGAAAAAAAAGTGTGTGAGACTTCAGTGGAAAAATTAATAAAACATTTTCCTGTAGAAAACATATGGTAAAGAAGTGGCATGACTGAGCCACTTGCGATTAAAATAGTTTCTTTACAGCTCTTGTATTCATACACAGATTTCATCATTGGTATTTGACTACAAAATACCAGATCAAGCTTTCAAAGAACGAGGAGGGCTCCCCTCCCACTCCGCTTTTTGTCTATATTTAAAGTGGAAAACAGTGAACACATTTCTAATGTATTTTGCTTGTACATTTATCCAAATTTTCTCCAGAATTTCACACATCTTCATGTTGTACTTTCCACCTTTAACTCCTGCATGAATTTTGATTTAATGCCTATTATTATGAAGACTGAATAGTATTCATCCATCACTCAGCCTGTCCTGTTTTCACACACTGGAAGCCCTCTGTATATTCCCAGATTCCCCCTCCAAGTCAGGAAAAAAACCCAACAAATGCCAAATAGCAGAATTCCAGGGAATGTATCTGCTTTCAAACAGAAGTTAGATGTTTAAAAAAAAAAAAAAAAAAAAAAAAAAGCAGGTATATAGAAGGTATGCACAAGAATCACAGTTTTGAATTGATTTACCAGTAAAAAAGTATAGGGTCCCACTCATAGCATCTGTCAAAGAATTAGTAAAATTTTCTTCATGGAGTCTGTGGCAAAGATCACTAATCTAGTTTATTGCTAGATTTTAATCTCCTTGTCCTAAACATGTTTCTATATTGAAGTGTCTTTATAAAATCTTTCATTGATTCAAAGACTCATTTATTGTTTAGTAAAGAATATATCTGTAAGAGAATGTTACTCTTATATTTAATTTTGGAAATAGTTTGCTTCTCAGTAAGAGTTCTGTCCAAGAAAGCATCTCTAAATATGCAATTGAAGATTAAATCCACAAGACTGTCACTTCAATTTTGCAATTTTAGGGTTACCTATTGTCCTAGTCTTGGCTGGGATGGAGTTAATTTTCTTCACAGCAGCCCTTATAGTGCTGTGGTTCAGACTGGTGACCAAAGCAGTGCTGATAACACAGGGATGTTCTGGCTATTGCTGAGCAGTGCTCGCACAGCGCCAAGGACGGCTCTTTCTCACTCTGCCCCTCCCAGCAGGTAGGCTGGGGGTGGGCAAGAGGATGGGAAGGGACACAGCCAGGACAGTGACCTGAATTGACCAAAGAGATATTCTGTACCACATAGAGTCATGCTCAGCAATAAAAGGGGCTTGGGGGGAGTTTTTCCAAAATTGCCACTGATCGGGGACTGGCTGGGCATTAGTCTCCTGGCAGTGAGTGATTGGGTTTGCATCACTTGCTTTTTCCCTTCCCTTTTTTATTTTAACTTTGTTTTAACTTATTAAATTGTCTTTATCTCAATCTATGAGTTTTCTCGCTTTTGCCTTTCTAATTCTCTCCCCCATCACACCAGAAGATGTGGGGAGTGAGGAAGCAGTTATGTGGGGCTTTGCTACCTACTGTAGTTAACCCACCAAACCTATGCAAACCATGCACTTCTAAAATAAGTCTTTGTTTGTGTGTGTGCTGTTTAGAAACTATACCAACAAAATAATCTTCTTTTTTTTTTTTTTTTTAATGGCAATATTGTCTAAAATTTGAAGGCTGAGTCTGAGCAGGACCAGAAAAACATCATCTCACTTTGTTCTGGTTCTTTACTTCTGAAGTTCCTCCCATCGAGTATTGAACTTCTCAAGTTTCTCATTGATCAATTCATCCAAAATTCCACCATCAGTTAAAGTCTGAGCCAGCTCCCGAATCTGATTGCGACTATCTTCTGGATGTCTCATTAAACGTTCCAAAGACTGAAACAAGGTCAAAAAAAGTAGGGTTTTTTTTTTTTCCTTTCTGCAAATAAGATTCTAGAGAGCAACTACAATTCCCCTTAAAAATATAAGAAACTTCATATTTCATACACAATAAAAATACAGAGAAAAGATAAAAATATCTGCGCCCCATTTCTTGTCAACCAATGTTCTGTATTACTTATTACCGAAAACAATGAAAGATTTTTTGCAAAGCAGTGAGTTGGGTGCTTGATTTTAAAAACGTGGACTATGCCCACTGAGTGCACTGGGAGTAATTGTGTACTTAAAAATAAAAAATTTACTTGAGTTTCTGACTGAAGTTCAAAACCAAAAATGCACTTTCAATGTAACGTTTTGTATTTTGATTCACTAAGAGTATTAACTGAATTTCTACAAATTTGAAAGCTTCCATGAATAAAAATTAAGTAATAATAAACACAGTTGCAGTGCTAGGATGAAAGTTCGCTCTCTCTGAAGTCTTCAATCTCTTTTGATTGGCTTAAGTGGGGCCATGTTTTTTAAGAACATGTACTTTATTGTCACAAAAAATTATCAATGACATCAGGCATAGCACATTTTCATAATAACTGTTTCACTTAGGCAGATTCCAATTTAAAACTCATTTTTGAATCAAGTGAACATAGGACTTTCCAAATATTCTGCATCTTGCTCATGCATAATGTTGATTCATAGTTTCTTTTGATTGTAATGTGATTTACAATTTATCAATACATGTGATTTGATATTATTTAAGTCTGCACTTACATCTAGAGACTCAGAAATCTCTTCTGCACCTCCTTGGATATTTTCAGTTGCCTTGAGTTTCAGTTCAATCTCATTCAACCATTTATTTTCTGCATCTAAATATGACAATAATTCATGCCAACATGCCCATACCTCCTGATGGGGGAAAAAAAAAAAAAAAAAGTCTATTAATATTGAAAAATCTCACAACTAACTTTCTCTTATTAAAACATTGAAAACATTGCGTGCTTCATCCCAAAACCAACATGGTTGCTATCTGATGGTTAGAGTGCCATATAGTTGATTTTTTTCCCAGTATTTAATAGAACCATAGAACAGTTTGGGTTGGAAGGGACCTTAAAGAGCATCTAATTCAAACCCCCCCTGCCATGGGCAGTAACACCCTCCCCTAGACCAGGTAGCCCAAAGCCTCATCCAACCTGGCCTTGAACACTTCCAGGGATGGGCCATCCACAACCTCTCTGGGCAACCTGTTCCAGTGCCTCACCACTCTCATAGTAAAGAATTTCTTCCTTATATATAATCTAAATCTACCCTCTTTCTGTTTAAAACCATTACCCTTTGTCCTATCACTATGTGTCCTTGTAAAAAGTTTATATGTTTATATGTTCCAAATAAATATAGTACACAACCAAAACATTTTTGATTAAAAAGAGTAAAAGCAGAGAAGTTAACATGGAAAAGTGAACACTTCTGCAAAACACAACTTCAATCTTCTGTCTCGTGAATTATCCACTTTATATACTTTTCTGTAAAATTTCCTTCTAATATATAAATAAACAAATTATAAGAATTTTCAAAGACTCATGTTAGACATTTATGTCTTTATTACAAGATGTAGTCAGGTTGCTTATATATTCTGTATATTAATTACTTACAGCACAAATTCATGAAATGTCTGAAAACACAGCTTTCAACTATTCTGACTGAAATCTCTATGGAAATTAATTCTAAACCACATTTAATTTATAGACCACTTAAGTGCTAGAGTACTAAACATAATGTTGTTAAATGAAATTATGTTCTTATTCTCCTGGAGTTAAATTACTGTCTAATATTTTATTTTTACAGTGTTTGAAGATACTTAAATAAGCAGATAAAAATGGCACTTTATACACAAGCAAAACATTTAAAGTCTCCATAAGTCATCTTTTCATTGTTCCTTTTTTGTTAGTAGAAATTAAAATAATTTTATTGAGTTGCATTAGGGTGTTTGTAGATCAAGTTTACCAGAGTGTGATTCATCTCACCTAACTTTGGTCATATCAAATGTAAATGTCTGGTCTAGGAGGAGGTTATAGAGGGATATTACTACACAACAACAACATCAACGATCAGGGGAAATATAGATTACCAGCTTAGACTACACATCTAATTTTCCACAGTGAAATTTAAAGGAGATAAATTTTACCCACATATATAATTGTCTTGTATGAAGTTAGCTATTGCAAATTACTTCACAAGGAAAAAAATACACCTAATTCACTGTGACCAGTGTATAATACGCAAATACTCCTATGGCAAGTATCTGTAATGGAGTTGGCCAAAATGGCAGGGTCAACTCAAAATGCATGAGACACATTCAGCTTGCCAGCAGATCAGATGCTGTTCCCATGCTGAGATAACACCACCTGTCCAGCTTCAGGCCATTTAATCAAAATCCTTAGCCATGGAAGAAAGAAACCTAGAGGAGCTGGTGAAGATAATGTCACAGAGTTGCTGCAGAAATCAGATCGTTGGCTTAATCTCAAAAGGGATAAGAACTCTGAGCAGTCATTGCTGTCTCCACCTAAGAGCCATGTCTGAGGCTTGGCTTTTAATTTAACTCTCCAGCATATATGCATCTCAACAAGATTTAGGTATATGGCTCATACAATGTGGTATTTGGTATATGGCTCATAAAGCAAGAACAGCCTTAGGCTACTCATGATCCCATATGATAATATATCTTTGCTCTCTACCTTACTTCTGCAGTTAGAAGGGCTATAAATACTATGACTGACAAGATAACCAACCTCCAAAGTTTTGCACTTTCCATTCAGTCTGCTGCAGAGTTGCTGGTAGCTGGTAATTAGAACATCAAGTTCCTTTCTCAAGGCCTCATGAGCTGCAGGTGGAGCCTTTGCTATAAAATTATTCACAGAATCAGTAATAAGCTTCACTTTTACTTCTTTCTGCATGGCTTCCTCCTTGCTCTCTGGGGAAAAAAAAAAAAAAAAAAATTGTAGTCCTAGTTTAAGAAGGAAACTGATTTCTAATAACTTTGTTAGAATGTTCTGTGACAAAATTCTGCCAAAGGGAAAAAGAAAAACAGTATTTTTTTTTTTACAAGAAATACTCCAAATATCTTTGCCATAATACCTTATGAACCATGAATGACAAAAAAACCTGTTGTGTTACAAATTCATGTACTCAAATTTAAAGGTACAATGACAAGCAGCAAGACAGAAAAGAAGGAAAATACTTCAGACTGATTTTCCTCTCCTTGCCACTGTTATTAACTTGCATTTAAAGAGAAACTGAGAAAATAATGTTTCTCCAGTGTATATTTTACACTTTTACCAAAGCATTAATGTTTCTCTCACTTTACAGAGATGGAAAAATCAGTGCCGCTATTCACCACCAGTGAACACTAACCCAACATGAAGAGCGGACAAAGGGAAAAGGGAACATTCTCCCAAACAGCACTTTCTGTGTTAAGACCTGGGGCAGAGAAATTCAACTGAGGACAGATACAGGAAACACAGATCTGATGGACATAGGCCTATAATTAACAAATCATATGTAACTGATCTGGAACCACCAACCTGCCACCATTTCCCCATTTTAGCCTATGTAACCACAACAACTGTTCAATCCAATTCGCAACTTTCTTCCTCCACCATAGGTCATCAGTGTGTACTGGTCTTCACAGGAATTCAGAATGAGAACTTCCTGGCCTGAAGCCATTAAAATAAAACCTTGTTCCCAACTATCTTTTTTCTCTCTGGCTCTGAGGAAGCCCATGAACCAGAATAATTGGGATCAGGCTATCGTTGCCACAGAAAGCTTACTAGGTTGCTCTTGGCTTTCTTCTTTCCTAGCCGTGGGAAGAAATGGGCTGCAGGATGAACAAAGTTCTAGTCCAGATTTTGCCTGTTGTGTGACAGGCGAGGTGACTGCAAGGCTTTGGGGAAAAGGATCACCAGGAGCAGGTGAATGGATGCATGACAAATGATCTGGTTATTTGCATAGGTTGAGGTGTCACAGTTTGAACATCCCTGTGCTTCAGCTGGAAGTACAGAATATTTACGTTGAAATCCATGGGGGATGTCTAAAACTATATAATTAATCTATTTTATTATGCAGTGCAATATATAAATTTGAGTTTTGTTATTTAATTACTAAAAAAGAACTGTATCTCTACAGCAGATGTTTACTTTTGATATATTTGTCTCATTTACAATGAATCAAACTTGTTCCATATATTTCAATATATTCTGACTAGCATCAAGTCATTTCTGTCAGTAAATAAAGAGATCATCAGTTGCATTGTCAGATAATCTCAAACACTGGCAAAACTCTACGGACAATGAAGAGTTTGCGAACAAAGTGTTGGATTGTTAAGGACATATACTCTGACTTCCTGAGTAGCACAGGGCACACAATTCCCCTGTGAAACTATGAAATAAAAATTAAGCCCCAATCCAGTGGCTGAGCAACAGTAAATTTATGTGTCATAAATTAGTGTTTTTTGTCCAAAGGCCATATTCATTCCACATGAAAGAAACATTATCTGAGACAAAAACATACTGTTCCTATATTGTTATATTGAAGAAATAAAATAATTAATCATGCATACTTACTACATGCCAACATGCACCCTGAAGTACTAAATCATTGTTTTTCCTCTCTCTAATATATAAAAAGAAGACGTAAAACTAATTTCACTTGATCAGTTAACTGCCAACACCTGATTCTTAGGAATTATTCCTTAAGTAAAATGTTGAAGCTGCATCAAAATCAAGCACCCAATACAGCAAAGGCGGGGGG